GACGGTGGGATGCGGGAGCTCCTGCCGCGGCCCGCACCCCTCCCAAATCCCTTTGGCATCATCTGTCCCCGACGTCCCGAGGCGTTTAAACCCCCAAAGGGTCTGGGCAACGCGTTGCCTTTCGCAGCGCTGCTGGCGATGCCGTGCCTGGGCACACGGGGGTTGCGAGCCCCCGCCAAAGATGTGCCAGGTTTAAGGGGAAGATGGGTGGGATGCTGGTGTCCCTGTGAGGAGCCCGGCTTGCCTGGCCTTAAACTGGGCGTCCCTTACCTCCGGCTCTTGCCAAGATAGCAGAATAATAAGGCAATAGCTCCCAATGTCCCTACCCTGATTTTTTTTACCCATTCATTTGAGCTTTGATGACAGGTTGCTCTTCAATGCGCCTCCTGTGGGGCTTTTTTTTTTTTTACTGTTGTTGGATAAAGAAGAAAAAATCTCAAGCTATTTACTTTGCGGGGGAATTAATATTGGTGCCCTAAGTGGAAAAGTAGGGGTTAGAATTAGTCAAGTGCGCTGGCAAAGGGCAAGGTAGGAGGAGTCCCACAGAGCAAGGAGAGACCAAATCTTTAGGTTAGGGGTATTTTTTTTCAGTCCTCAGGTCAGAGTTATTTTAGACTTCTGGTTTTATACTCCACTTTGCTCAGAATTCAGTGACATAACCCTGTTATGCTCAGAAAAATGCATAAAAAGAAGGCCTAATGATCTGTTTCCTTGAACTCCTGATCATTTTCTGAGCTAGCAAACAAAGGCTTTTTCCTGCATAGAGCTGTGTAACAACACGTCCACTTGTGACATTATCTGTCCACTTGCCCACTTGTGTTCCTCAGTCAGTTCTCAGTGGAGGTGTGTGGAAAGAATTTCTTTCCCTTATTATTTGATCACTATGTTTTAACAGACGGTCCTTAAACTAACAAATGATAGTAGTAGGACTTGCCAGGAAATGTGTGTGCGTGGACTGGCATGGACAGAAATTGATAGGAATAAAAAAGAGTACAGTAGAATAATACATAAATAACATTGGGGAGGTAAGGCTTAAGAAAGGGTTGTCTGTTTTTTTCTTTAAGCTTTTGGATTTATAAGCAGGAAGGTCTTAATTTCAGAAAACAACACTATTTTTTTTCCTCAGTTTTTAATGTTTTCTTGAGAAGAAGAAAGATTTGAATGGCTCATGACAGCATGATAATTGAAATCTGGTACTCAGTTTAAATGTGTTTATCTGCAAAGCGGGCAGGAAAGAATTAAAAGTTGATTTTACACAAATTTCCTGCATGCCAGACTCAAGTGAATATTTTAAAATTATAAGTGAGAGAAGTTCTTAAAATACTAAGGAAAACATCATTATTTTCAAGGCAGGTTTGTTTGGGGTTTTTTTAGCATGAATTATTTCTCAAGTGATTTTGGAATAAAATTACCATGATTAAGAAGAGATGAACTACACTTAGTTTTGATATACATTTTATCCCTATTTACCTTTTTCTTTATGAGAGAATTTATACTAATTGATGCATTTTATTCCTCTGCTGTGAAACCAAAACACACCACACACTTTTAGTTTGGGTTGCAAATACTGGGCTAGAATCTCAGTGTTTAGTCAGGCAAAGCTCAGTGAAATGCAGAACGTGGTCCATTATTTCCTGAGAGCAGCAAAGGAAATAGCAAACTAGTAGGAAATGCAGAAGAAACAACAATCAGATCTTTATAACCAGGCACTGTGTTGCTTCAACTTTTATGACTAATGGATAAAAAACAATTATGTTATTGGCCTCAATCTTGCTTTCCCATAAAAAAAGACATACCACATACTTTTTAGCTTACATTTTTGCAAATTTAAGGATATGTTGTGCCACCTACTTTTTTTACAGAGGACATTCCACCACAGATAAAACTGCTTAAAACTACTAGTTAGATAGCAGCCTTACTTTATTAGCTGACCAGAAATATTCTTCAAAGGCCTAGAGTTGAGTAAGCAAAATTGTCATTTGCAAGTCCTAAAGTAGCAAATACTGTGATTTGGTCATTATTCTGACATGCACTGCAGATGCTGCTTCTTTTAAAATAAATATAATTTTTAACATTATGCATTTGATAAACTCATTTACCCTTCATGAAAATTTTACAGCACGATTGCATGCATACAGAGATAGATTTAGAGTCATAAACTGTTCTCATTCTGCTTATCTAATTCTCATTGACACCTATGTATATTAAGCAGCAGATGTAGGGCAGCTTGAGATGGATTCTTCTCTCACTGACACTGGTATAAATTTGAGTTGCTCCCGTGGCTAGATGAGAACAGGCTCCCTAATACTTAATGCTTAGTCGATCCCTGGTGCATATTTCTTGTTGAAAGGCAAAGGCTTGAGGCTAATTTAAATGTCCCCGGTCCAGGCGCGTTGGGTGTCTAACTGAGCTCTGTGAAATGTGGGAAAGCCCCTAGGAGAGAAGTTCATGAGGGTCTGGGCCGTGGCCTCAGTGCACTGGGCTTGTTGCTAACGTGCCCCTTTGCCCTTGCAGATATGCCCTGTGTGCAAGCGCAGTATAGTCCTTCACCACCCGGTTCAAATTATGCATCTCAGACCTATGCGTATGGCTCGGAGTACAGCTCAGACATCATGAACCCTGACTATGCCAAGCTGACCATGGACCTGAGCAGTACCGAAATCACTGCCACTGCCACCACCTCCCTTCCCAGCTTCAGCACCTTTATGGAGGGTTACTCTGGCAGCTACGAGCTCAAGCCTTCCTGCCTCTACCAAATGCAAACTGCCTCCTCTGCCCAGAGGCCCCTCATAAAGATGGAAGACACCCGGCTCTCCCCGTACCAGCCCTCACTGCCCCCGTCCACGGACGAGGGGATGCCCAGCACTTCCATGTACTTCAAGCAATCTCCACCCTCCACGCCCACCACCCCTGGCTTCCCTGCTTCCCGCCGCTGCAGCCCACGCAGACCTGCCTGCCGCCCAGCCATCTGATGGATGCCACCCCCATGAAGACCGTGCCTCCACGCTTCCCTCTCTTCCACTTCAAGCACTCTCCTCCGCACACGCCGTCCGCGGCCGCCCACATGTGCTACGACCCTGCCTCCCTGAGCCTGCCCCTGGGCTCCGACAGACCCACGGCCAGCCAGGCTCCCATGGAGAGCCATTCCTACGGGCTCCACCTGGCCAAAAGACCAGCCACCTTAGCCTTCTCACCACTCGGCCTCAACGCACCCACCTCCAGCCTGATGGGTGAGAGCAGTGGAAGTGGCAGCAGTGGCCTCCCATCTCCGCCCAGCAGGAGCTCTTCATCTGGGGAAGGCACCTGCGCTGTCTGTGGAGATAATGCCGCCTGCCAGCACTACGGGGTGCGGACATGCGAGGGCTGCAAGGGCTTTTTCAAGGTAAGAGCTCTGTGGTTTGCTCCTCTCTCAGCTTCCCACCACCTCTTTTCCCTCCCCACCTGCCCCCACATGCTCCTGGTCCTGACCCAGGGGCTCAGAGGTGTAGTGTTAGAGCTCAGACCCCCCCAGCACGGCAGGATGGGCACCCACCCCTAGTTTTTGAAGAAGGCCAAAGCAAGCCCTCTGTAGGATAAAAGGATCAAACAGTCTTGGCTGAGAAAGGCGATGGCAGGGAGCTGGGCAAACCACATCTCCAGTCTGTCAGCACCTCTCCACAGAGCACCCCTGTCTGAGCTCTAAACTGCATTTATTCTGTAATGAAACTCACCTGGGACACATCCAACCTGGGTTTTACTGTCACCCACTCCAGTTAAACATTGTTTATAAGTTGAGAACAAACCCTGAAATCACCAGGTCCACTGGATATTTCAGGTAGTGGCAGCAGTGCCATTTGTTATCCCAGTGTGGTTGGGGTGAGGAGGGCACCAGGAAGAAACTGGTTACACACATTGGACAAATCCAAGTACTTCTAGTTGTATTTGGTTGCTGCCTTGTCATTACCCTTCAGTTCAGGAGCCCAGTGAGTCCTCATCAGTGGAAAGCTGCTTGCAGAGCAGTGACTAAGCACCACGTAGGGTCCTGGTGCCTGCTCTGTAATGAAAGCAGCTTTCAGCTGAATAGCAACACAAATAACTTAAGCACAGCAGTTTCTCAGTGGAAACTTTGTGCTTATATTTTTAAGAGTTGAGTACACTCTTTTGCTCATAGATTTAGCCCCTTCGTAATTCCCTTTCGGCAGGCTGAGTTCAGATTCCAGTATTACTTTCAGACATATCTCATATAAGTGAAGAGCTTGGAGTACAGTTTTGGTAGGATGGTTCTGGGCAGCAGGTTTAAGATTTGCTACATTCGGGCTTGATTTGGTATATTCCTCCCTGCTAAGATAGCAGTCATGCCCCTGTTGTGGTAAAAGATACGATGGGAACAAAAATAGTCCCAAAATATTTGGGGGGAGGGCTTACTACATATTTTTTTTAATTGTAGGTGGAGCTGCCAATGTTACTTAATAATCCTTTGACAACATGGTAACATACACATCTCCTCTAAAACTAATTTGTTATTTAAATATAACTAGAAAAGGGAATACAAATAACCTGGACATAGGAGCTCTTATGAGACTAATCCTGCCCCTGTGGGAATCAATAGCATATCCTTGATTTGGAGCTTATTATGCAAAATTAAACTGTTTTCAGCTCCAAATCACAATGAACAATATTTGCTGAGTCTCCTACATTTAGTACATTGAGGCTGTTATTTGATAAGGAACATGAATTATGAAATAACATTTATCCACTAATTCAATTGTAGTGAAAGATTTAATATTGAATGTTGAGTTGATAAATTTGTTCCTGATGTCTTTCCTATTAATGTCTTTTTTGATGCTAAGCTATTTATTGATGTATCTTTGATTTTAAGTATGGAAACATAATACGCTTTTGCTTCAATATTTGCTGCATTCTTCCAATGTTTACCAAGTTTTTACAAATTTAAAATTTATTTTATTTTTCAAGTTCATTTTAGAAGTATTTAAATATGCACAAGTACAGTATAATTCTGTCTGGGTTTTTTCCCTGGGCCAGGTTAGCTTTCCCAGAACATTTAATAATAAACATATTTTATAGGGGTTTCTGGTATTTTTATTTTTCTCCCTGATGATTTTAAGGCTAACCAAACCAGTTATTGTGGTATTTGACTAACAATAGTGATAGCAAGAGAAGTACATTGCGGATCATTTTGATTTTATTTTAATAAGGTCAGCAATAATCAAGGGAATGAACCAAGTAGAAAATTGTTCCCAAAGGGATATTAAAAGCGGAGATAATCTAATCCCCAAAGGTAGATGTGATGACCTGGTAATTTCAGATATGATTTTATCATTCAAAGTTGCCTGTCTCCAGAGACTTGCTTCAGAACAATCCTAGATGATTTTCATTGTCAGCAGCTAACACTAATAAAATTGTTTTTCCTGCAGGCTAGTGTGTTAGGAAATTAATTTTATCTAATTATATGAATTGCACTGTCACTTTTCATGTTGTAATTAAAACACATTTTGTCAGGTTCTAAGTTGCACAAGAAACGATCAGTTTACTATTTTTGTGTTGCATTTTTGCAGAGAACAGTTCAGAAAAATGCAAAATATGTTTGTCTGGCAAATAAAAACTGTCCAGTGGACAAGAGACGTCGTAACAGATGCCAATACTGCCGGTTTCAGAAGTGTCTCAGCGTCGGCATGGTCAAAGAAGGTAAGGACTATGGCTATTATCATCAGAGAAACTGAAATATTATGTTTAATGGATCTCTGCTTACGTGCGTGTATGTGTGTGTGTGTCAACATGGATATCTTCAAAATGAATTTGACAGTGATGGGATTCATAACTTACCCCCAAATATGTGCATTTATGTGATAATGTATTGATTTTCTGCTTTTCATCCTTATTATCATATTTAGACTATAGACCCCAGAGTTCAAGAACAGCAAGGTCACAAGAGGATAATTTGACACTGGCCAAAATGTCTCCTTTATTAACTTTGAACGTTGCTCGATAGTGCTGTTGGCTTCCCCCTGTTATCTCACCAGGGGCTGCACTAGACTGTGTGCATTTTGACATAGGATCTTGTTTCATTCCCATAAGCTGATTGTAAATTTACAATTAATTTAAATGGAAACAGGATCAACTCATTAGTCCCAATTCTGCAAATATTTAAATTTGTGACTAATATTGTGTGAGCAGTCCCATTGCAAATACTGACATGGATAATATAGCCTATATAGTGGGGCCATATTTTTTCAAATGCTGCAAGAAAGCTAAAATTACTTTGACTGAGCAACTCTGCTATTGAAAAGGGACACTAGTAGTGGGAGCATTAAAATTTGTGTTTCACGGTCAGGTTTCTTTCAGCAGTGGAGTGTCACGGGCACACATACACAGGCACATAGACATGCTGCAAACAAAGCTTGAACACTAGGAACACAGCTGGTCTCTCAGTAAGCAGCTACATTGCTGCTTACGATCATATGTCTGACGCAGTTTTGGTGTAATTTGTGTTCCTTTGCCATCAAAGGCATCAAGAGCATGTGGTGAAACTGGAGAACACTCTTATTTTTGCTGGGCTGGCCACCATGAGACAAGCAGAGTGTTCGTTCTGCTCCATCATTTGCTGGTATCTTCACAACTGATTCCCTTGTTGTTGTTTTTTCACCTAGTTGTCCGTACCGACAGCCTGAAAGGGAGAAGAGGTCGGCTGCCTTCCAAACCAAAGAGCCCCTTACAGCAAGAACCCTCTCAGCCCTCCCCACCTTCTCCTCCCATCAGCATGATGAATGCCCTCGTACGAGCTTTAACCGACTCCACGCCCAGGGAGCTTGACTATTCAAGAGTATGTCTCACTTTTCTTTGCCTGTTTGCTTTCCACATAGAAATGATTTGAGAACTGCGTTTCTACTCACCAGCCGGTGTGCTAAAATGAAATTAAGTGTGAAATTTGGATTAGGCTAGAAATGGTTCCAGCCAGCCGTTGTCTTTTCATGATAGGTGGACAATGAGAGGAAAGGAAGTGCAGTAGAAATTAGTGTTAGTAGCTATTCATTGTGAAGATCTCAATCACAAAGTTAGCTGCAGTATATTCCAAGGGTGAGTGAAAGCAAAAATGCATGGATAAACAGAGCATTCTTCTTGCAAAAAGACTGTGCCAAAACCAATGTGATTGGTTAACCTACCAAGCTCAGAAGCAGTACTCATATGTCCAGTATCTTAACTGCCAGGTTCCGAAGGCTATACTTTAATAGCATTTCCCTAATATTTAGATATAAGAGTTGCACAAAGTAACACTGCATGGATAGGAACATTTCTATTGAAATCAATGGGAATTTTGCCACCATTTAAATGGGACCAGGATTGGTTTGGGATACCCCAGCATGAATATTTCTTCACTAAAATTCACATTTTTAAAAGCAAAGCTTTTAAAATCAAAATTCTGAAAAATTTATCTCAGCAAAGCCTTACCAGAGATTATATGCTTTTGTAGCCTTGTTTCTTAATGTATCATAGTCACCATTTAAATATTCATGGAATATTTTGAAAGCTGAAAAAAATGTTTTGTAGTTATTAAAATACAACACTGAAATGGCTTGTTAAAAACATTTTTTAGGCAGGTTGGTATAGGAAAAGAAAAAAATACAGTTAAAGAAAAACAAGATCAAATTCTTTCCCCTTAACGAAATATGACTGGGAGACCATAAAAAACATCAGCTATACTCAGACAATATCTGCATTGGCCATTTATCACTTGTTGCTAAGTAATATTTAATCCTAAAACATATTTGATTTCAATTCCATAAAAATTTCATTATTCTATTTTAGACTGCGTTTAACTATGTAATTTAACAATTTTAAGCATGCTGTAACATTTTTTCTTCACACTAATCTGTAAGTATTAAATCATATAACTTTCCAAAGTATTATTAAGAATCTAGCAGTTGAGTATCTGACAGCCTTCGGCGGGGGGGGAATGCATTAGCCATATTTACACGTACTTTAACTTACCCGACATGTCTCGGGGGTCATTCTGCAAATACCAAGGTGTGTGACGAGCTGTGCTCTTTGACAGGAACCCGCTGAGTTCCACAGAATTACAGGGGTGTATTAGCCCAGGCCGTGAAAGAAGTATCTGACCTTAGGCTTTTATTTTTTCATAAAGTTCTTTTGCATTTACAAAAAAATCTGAACAAAAACTATGTGCTTTTATGTGACTTTTTTCCTTTGTCCTGCAGTAATTATTTCTCTTTTAATGAAAATAGCCCATAGATCTAATTGTTGAGCAATTCTGTTGGACATTACAGGAAGCATATGATTGGCAGTAGATTAATTTAGTCGTGGTAGCTACAAGATTAAGTATGATTGTCTGTTAGAATATATTAATATCTAAGTTTTTCTTTAGAATAAAGTATATAATAGCTTCTTATGCCCAGCAGTACTGAAAAGAAAAAAATATTCTAAAATAAATTAATAGATTTTTATGTTTTTCATAAGCCCTTCTACTGATTTTGAGAAGTTAGAGGAGATCAGAAACAAATGCTGTGTAGAAAACAAGATTAACTAGATGAGACATTCCGTAAACACGCTGCAATGCTAAAAAAATCCTTTGCTGAATAATCCTGTACCTGTAAAGACTGACCTACAGCATGTTCAGTTAGGTTGTGATCCTGCTGAGCACCGCAAATGGGCAGATCTGGAAACCTGGATTTGGAGTCAGTCCTGACTCTTCTGTAGATAATGACCTTCATGTTTAGCATGGTCTTCATATTTACAAGCTGCGATGTCTTGACCATCTTAAAAGCACTGATAAAAGTTTCAGAGAGAACCAGGTATTCCTTCCCTCTAAAAAAACCTAACCACACACAGGCACAGACAAAAAAAAACCCAAAACCAAAAATAAATTACATAAGCTACAAAATTTACACCAAAACATATTGGAAACAGTTCTGTTCAGAACATGGCTCTTTTCATCTCAGCACTGGTTTTAACTTACCAGTCCACAACTGTGGTATATTTAGGTACTTGGTTTCAAAAGGCAATTGCCAAGGGCCGTAGTCCGGTCTCACACCTGTTTACTGGTACAATTCCCTGTGTTTACACTTTTAAGTAAGTGAGATGAGAAACAGACCCTATATCTCGCCGTCCTTACGTGTGCAGAATAGCCACCAACTTAAACAGGAATGTTACCTTTTCAGAGGGAGGCTGCAACATTTAGGCAATAATCCTCGCCCTTTCCCAGCCACAAAATTAAGCACATATTGTGGCTTTTGGAAAAAGGAGCATAGCTTCTGTGTGCAGGGAAGTTCTTGTTAGGCTTTTGCAGCTGTAGCCGTCGATGAAGGACTGCTGAAAGCAGGCGAAGGGTAGAGCTAGGTTGTGCTATCAAGCTCCCCAACCTCAGGCTTTCCAAATCTCTTTAGATATAACATGCAAGTTAGTGTTGCTTGCCATGCGTGCAACCCCCTTCCTTAAGAAACAGTCAGATTTCATTTAATTCCCAAAGGAGCTGTGAGGAAGGGAGTGAGGCAGAGCTTTGTCTTCTGGCTTTCTCCCAGTTTGCCTCCAGTTTGCACAGGGGAGGTTTAGAAATGCAGATCGGAGCCCTTCCGTGCCGTGGCGTCCTGACCAAGGGCAGGCTTACCAGCTGTCTTGGTCACAAGTTAGGTCAAATATCACCTCTTCTCAATGAAATAATCTCGCAACAAACCCGCAGATTTTGGTGCATAAAACAGAACCATACATATTGTTTATGGTTACTTATAGACTCATAAGTCTGTTACAAGTAAACCATATTTAACTATTCTTTGTAACTTCTAACTCTTAGTAGCAAGAGGTGATGTATTGCAGCAGCTAGAAGTCATACAATTCCATAGAATTTCTTACCTTTCTTCTGAAATTGCTCTCATGGGATAGACTATGATAACAAATACAGGTTATAATTTTTTTTAGATGCATTTAATTTAATTCAGTGTCCCACATGGGGTATACCATACTATAGCATTTACAGATACGTGACATAATGCAGTATTCAGCTTCATTAGAAAATGTTAAAACTTTGCCTTACTTTTGCCAAAGGAATGTTTTATAAATACTGGGAACAAATTAACACCTGGCATAATTATGCTGAGTTGCCGTGAGTTATATTTAGAATGAGCCCATTCAGAAAGACTAGTATCTTCTTTCTTTACCTTTTCTTTTCCTTCCTCTTTACTGTTCAAAGGATCAAGAATGTGTCTTGCCTTAGCAGTACCTATGGTGAGGCAGCAGTTTGCATCAGCCTGTGTGGTTTCCTCATGTAGAAAAGAGCCATAGGTCAACCCCTGCACAGCAAAGCACATCTCCCAGAGCCAAAATTCACACTGTCGTGGCTTGTTCCACAGCTTCCCTTTTAGAGGGTCCAGAACAAGCATGATCTCTGAAAAATGATTTTTCTCTACCTCCTAATTACCTTGGTGCATCTTGCTGTAGTCCAGTGCCAGGTGTAGTTGGCTCCTGCTGCTTGAGCACCCACACTGCTCCATTCAGGTGGGGGACTGAACACATAAATGATGCAGCATACAGATTTTTCTACTGCTGCTCCCCATCTTCTCTGTATTTTGGCTTCTACATACCTCACTGTTGCAGGATCCTTTGGAATAGCTGGGGCAGAATTTGCCTCCATGAACTTTGTCAGAAGGATCACACGTGTTTCACTAGCTGACTAGGGATGTAAGCTCATGCTTACAATGAGAAACTATGCAGTTAGTGTTGAGTAAGCAGAACAGAGTCTTTAAGGGCTAGCACCAGTACCCCAGATACAGCCAGAGGTCTCTAGGATTGCTATGGTTCTCCCATTAGTCAGCAGCTCTGGCACTGTGTCCTTCATCCCTTACTTGCCAACAGCAGCCAGCTATAGCTAGGAGAGGCAGAGAACAGGACAGCTACCTGAGAAGTTCTGCTTGCCGCCCCCCACTCTCGATCCTGTATAGAAGTGACTTTTGGGTTACAGTTAGCAACTTGGGTGCTACCTGCTGCCCAAGTGGCATGGCAGTAGTAAGGTCCTGCCAGGCTGCCAGCCCACTGTTGCTGATCAGGAAGGAGTTGTGGGTCTTTCTGTTTCCACTCTGGCTTGGGACGTTGCTAGGGTGCTAGGTGCTGATGAACTCAAGCCCTAACTGCACGTGGGAAGTTGTTTCCAAAGGTTGTGCACACTTCTTTAAGCCATGGAGACTATCCAAACTTTCCTTGCTTGAGTCCCTGAAAGACAGTGGGTATGAAATATCTCCCAGAAGTATCTCACTAGATGTCTGATGGTGAGGATGTTACAATAAATGCCACACTATTCAGTACCCACTCAGAAAACCAGCAGTGCTTTCCGAGCACAGAATCAGACTAAGCGACGAAAACTCCTGTTGGGTTTTCTGCCCAGAGAGAGAGAGAGAGAGAGAGAGAGAGAGAGAGAGAGAGAGAGAGAGCAGTGTCACTGGACTGACAGGGATTCACTGGTGTCGAAGTAGAAGATAGTGGAGAGGGAGTTGTGAGGGGGTCACAGGGAAGCTGAGCAAGCTGAGACTGTCAAATGGTTGCCTGGAAGAGTTATGGTCAT